ATTGGACAGATACATGCAAAAAATGAAACTAGACTACCAACTTACACCATAAATAAGAATAAACTCAAAATGGATAAAATGCTTAAATGTAAGACTCAATGCCATAAAAATCCTGGCAGAAAACATAGGCAGTAAAATCTCAGACATCTCATGTAGCAGTATTTTCACTGAAACATCAACTACAGCAAGGGAAAGAAACGAAAACATAAACAAATGGGATCACATCAAACTAAAATATTCTGCACAGCAAAAGAAACTGTCAACAAAATAAAAAGGGAACACATTGCATGACAGAATATATTCACCAATAATACATCTGATAGGTTAATTTCCAAAATATATTTTAAAAAATGTATACCTTTCAATACCAGAAGACAAACAATCTAATCAAAAAATGGGCAAAGGACCTGGATAAGTCTTCAAAGAGGACATACATATGATCAATAGACACATAAAAAATGCTCAACATTACTAATCATCTGATAGATGCAAATTAAAACTACAATAAGGTATCACTTCACAACTACCAGAATGGGTATCATCAATAAATCAACAAACAGTAAGTGCTGGTGAAAATGTGGGGAAAAGAGAACCCTAGTATACTGTTGATGGAAATGCAGACTGGTGCAGCCACTGTGGAAAAACGGTATCGAGTTTCCTTAAAAAAATTAAAAATGGAACTGCCATTTGAACAGCATGGATGGAACTGGAGAGCATTATGCTAAGTGAAATAAGCCAGCCAATGAAAGAAAAATATCACATGATCTCACTCATTTGTGGAATATAAAGAACATCATAAACTAATGAACAAAAATAGATACAGGGACAAAGAAGCATCAAACAGAGTGTCAAACTACAGCGGGAAGGCAGGTGAGAGTGGGGGTGGGGGAGGTAAGAGATCAACCGAAGGACTTGTATGCATGCATATAAGCATAACCAATGGACACAGACACTGGGTGGGGAGGGAGGGAGAGGTGGTGAGGGCATGTGCCAGGAGGTAGGAGAGCCGGGGGGAGATCAATAGGGGAAAAGGGAGACATATGTACTACTATTTGTAATACTTTAAGCAATATATATATATACGGGAAACATGTTTATTACAGAATACTAAGGGAAATGAAAGCCGGAAGAAAATAAAAAGACCCAGAATGTACCCCTAAGCCAAGGGGGTGGGGGTATGATAGAGCAGTTAATGTATGTGCTCTTGAGACAAACTCCCTGGGCCTGAGACAGGCTCACCTGCTAACTAACTCTGTAACCCTGGGCAAGGTTCTTAACTTCTCTGTGCCTCAGTTTTCCAGCCTGTCAAGTAGAGGTCAACAATAGCACCTACCCCCATGGGATTCCTGTGAGGTTTAAGGAAAACAACGCATAAAGTACTTAGCACAATGCCCAGTGTAAATGCTGGTTATCGTTGTCATCATCATGACATCAATGACAGACCTTTTTTTTATACTTTTCTGTATTCTGTATTCTTGATGCTGTACAGTATTTGCTTATTGTAGAAGTGTTAGAATCAGAAAAAAACAAAAGCATGAGTAATAACATACTCTAAAACCCTGACATTTTTGGATTTAACAGCCACAGGCTTGCCTGATCTTGAGTGAGCGTAAAGGACCATGAGATGATTGTGGCACTGGCTGAAATCCCCCGAGCCGAACCGGACTGGTGAGCTGCTCACTGCTGTGCAGGCAGTTAACCTCAGGCAGAGACCACTGACATTCGTCATACACTCTCCTGAATCCCAGGAGGGGAATGAGCTGTGATAAGCCCCCAAAAGTCTCAGGAGGGCCCCCTTGAGGACTCTAAGGGTTCCCTCCATCCAGCATGCACCCCAGAATCCACAGGAGGCTTTCTGATGTTGTGACTGCCCCATCTACAACCCTCCATGTGCTTCACTGACCCGCCGAGCCCTGTGCCCTCCCAGCCTCCCTCTGGCGACCGAGGCAGCAGGGCTGCCCTCCTCACCCAGGTGATTAAGCCAGTGCCGTCTGTGTCCATCTTCAAAAACAGCGCCTCTAGCATATCATCTGACACATTGCTCAGATTATTCCTCATGGCTTTAATGAAAGCCATCTTGTCCAGGGCTTCAAAAGAGAGAGGAAAGAATATTGTCTATTTTATCACAACCCACCACTGACCACAGCGTTTTTGGGTGTCTGGGTGCTGAGGGGGGACACAGAGAGGATCACATTTGCCAGGTTATCTGTTGCAATGCCTGTTCAACATTCAATCACCCCACAAATACTGGCTGCACACCTTCCATGCAATAACACTATGTTGGCCCCACTGCTGGGGGGGAGGGAGGGGCATGTACTAAAAAAGATCAGATATCATTACTCAACAAATAAGACTGACCAGGCATCAAGACAAAGAAAACTGAAGAAGAAGGGAAAAAAAAAAACTAAGGGGAAAAAAAAGAATTGCAACGAGACATGAATTCAAAAATATAGAGGGAGAGGTGAAGTGCATCTTTTAAAGGCAATTAAAACACAAACTTGGCTGGAGGGAAAGATGGGGAGAGGGGAGGAGAGAGAAGGGATGAAATATCTCCTGTGCTGGGTCTTGTGGTTCTAAGTTTCTCTGTCTACAAGTAAGTCGATAACCTCTGTCTAGATTTTTGAAAATAAGCACAGCATTTGTAACGTGCTTCTAAAACCCTCTCCAGCCCTGGCTGGTGTGGCTCAGCTGGTTGGAGCATCGTCCTCTGCACCAAAAAGTTGTGGGTTTAATTCCCGGTCCAGGCACATACCTGAGCTGTGGGTTGGATCCTGTGTTGGGACATGTACAGAACAACCAATCAATGTCTCTCTCTCCCCCCCCGCCCCCCGCCTCTCCCTCTCTCCCTCTCCTTTCCCCTCTCTCTAAAATCAATATGCATAAGCTCAGATGAAGATTTTTTTAAGTAAATAAGTAACAAATAAACCCCCTCCAAGTATTTGGAGTCCTTGCCATGGTCTGAAGGCCGTGCATCATCCCGCTTCTTTCATCCTCACCTCCCACTGGGGTCCCCTGCATTCTCTGGTCCAACACTGAAGTCCCCCACACTATTTCTAAAACCACTGAGCATACTCCCACCTGAGGGCCTTTGCACTGTCTGGCTCCCCCACCCAGGGAAGCCTTCCTGGAGACTAAGGAGGCCCCCGACCCCCACACCCGGCTCTCCTGTCCTCCTGACATTCCTCATCACCACTCCAGCCCGTGAGCTCCAGGACAGCAGGGCTGAGCCTGTCCCCCCATGACTGTGTCCCCCGAAGCTTCTGTCAGCACTAGGATGTGATGGCAATGACACTGGGTGCCAGTCTCATCTGTGTTTATGCCTACTGACCACCTAATGAGAGGGGCTTGTGAGGGAACTCCGGCAGAGGTGAGGTCCATGCCCAAGGTCACACAGCTGGGAAGTGGTGGAGCCGAGACTGAGCCCAGCAATCTGGCGCCAGAGGTCTGCTTTCACCCCACTCTATGCTCCTCGGCAATCGTGCTACAGCCACGCTTGGTACTGTTATTGCTTCACTGAGGACAAATGAAAGCTTGGACAAAACATGCCCTGCCTAAAGAAGGATCCATTGTATTCATCTGAAGCTGGAGCCAAGAGGCTCATGCATTTTGAGTGGCACCTCCCAGTCCTTCCGTGTACAACATGGACATCAGATGACAGTTCACGAGCAGCAGGCTTCCCCTGGGGACAGAGCTGGAGTCAGCGCGCCTTTAATGAAAACGCTCCTCCTGAGAGCGCCCCAGGGATCCCGTCTTTTCACAGTGTTTTGGAAACCGTAGACACTGTTCTCAGCCATATATTTTAATATACTTCTTCTCACAAACAATCTACCAAATTTTTGAGAAAACAAGAGAGTAGACACAAAGGTATTTTAGAAAGGAAATGTACACTGTGGGGGCAGGCAAGACCCTGGCTCATCACCTCTGAAAGGACGCACTCACCATCTCGTCCCAAATGGTTAATTAAAGGCTCTCAAAGCTTAAATGTGACAATAGCACTCCCCTGGGGAGAGGGCACTACTAGGATCAGGCAGGCAGGAACTTTCGGGGGAGGGGGGCCCCTGACTCCTGCCAGCCCACTCGTGAGCCACCAGTGACCTCTAACCCACCATATCTGACAATGCCCTTGTCTTGGGGCCTCCCGCCTCCCTGGGCAGCTCCGCCTCCTCCGGGCTCTGTTGCCTGCCCTGCCCTGTCACCCTGTGTCTGCCTCTTCTCATCACTGGCCTTTTTGATTTGCCGCATAAAGCTCTCTTGAGTGACCTCATCTATTCACCCATCTCTCCATCTCAGGAGAGGATTTCTCTCCCATGTCCCTAACTCAATCTCCAAGTCCCCCTGGTCCCTCCAGCTCAGTGTTTTAAATCCAACTTACCTTTATCATAAAATGTGCTCCCCTTTCCTGTGTTTGCCTCCTTTGCTAGTGGTGTCACTTCCCCCGAGTCACGCAGGCTGAAAACCTGAGGGGGTTTTCAATGTCCTCCCTCCTAAATCCTCATAAGAATCCTATGACCCTAGAATGGAGGCACTGTCTTCCTCCCATCACACAGGTAAGGACACAGAGGCACTGAGCAGTTCAGGGACCTGCCTGAGGACACACAGTGGTGCAGCAAGAATTGAAAACGAAGCCTTCCCTCCTCTCTGTCATAATCTCCACTCCCCTCTTATAGCCAAGCCCTCCCATAGCCACCCAGCCTCCTCAAACAGGTCTACATGTGTCACCTCCCCGTCAGGCCCACTGCTGGGGTCCAGGGCCCCTCCTGACTTGAGTCACCTTCCATGACCCCCTTCCTCCCTACCTTGCCCCAGGACATCCCTTCTCCCTCTAGCACAGCAGCCCTCCTGCACCTCTCTTTTGCCTTTGCCTTCCTGGAACTGCCCTCCTCCCCATGTCCTGGGAAACTTCTACTCCACCTTCCCAGGCAGGTTTCTAGCCACACGCTTCGATTCCCAAGTGCCTCCCAACACCCCACCCCACCTCCACCCCTTTCTCTTCCTCTCTTTGTAATGACTATTTTTAAATACTTGTAAGTATTTTTAAAAATAAATGCTATGTGCCTGGCCGGCATGGCTCAGTGGTTGAGCATTGACTTAAGAACCAGAAGGTCATGGTTCAGTTCCTGGTCAGGGCACATGCCCGGGTTGTGGGCTCGATCCCCAGTGTGGGGCGTGCAGGAGGCAGCCAATCGATTCTCTCTCATCATAGATGTTTCTCTCTCTCCCTCTTCCTTCCTCTCTGAAATCAATAAAAATATATTTTTTTAATGCTATATGAAAACTATTTAAGGAAAGAATGTTATCTCCTAACCTCCCCCTGCCCTCTGGGGGAAATGAGCACGGGCTCACAGACAGCCCCAGATCACAATCACAGACCGGCCCCTGAGCTGCCTGGTCCCCTCTTACTTCACTTACTCTGGCATCTGGGGTGCTACGCATGGTGTGGGTGCCCAAGAAAGCACAGGCTTTGGTGTCAGAGGCTCCGGGCCACTCCATTTGGGCATGTGAGCAAAGAAAGGCCCAGACTCCTCACTGACAGCCAGGACACTACCACCAGCCCTGCAGGGCCCTCATGAGAACTGAGTAAAATCTGACAGGCCTTTACAACCCCGGAGACTGTCCTAACGCTGATCTTTATCATGCCTGGCAAAATGTCTGCTGGGGACCCTGTGCCACTGACATCCACCCAGGAGTGCCTAGGGCACAGAAGGTAAGGGCCACACGGGGTCCGGGCAGGGAGCTGCAGGACTGTCGCTCAGTGCTAATCCCTCAACCCCTGAGCAGCCTGCAGGCTCCCCAGGCACAGGGTGCTGGGGCTGTGGGTACATGGACACTTTCAAAACCTCCAAAAGATGGGTCAGCACTCCTCTTAAAGAACCACAGACCCACCTACCTCAAAGACCTCGGTTCAACCAACAGAAAAACTAAGGCTGGGAAGGGAACTTGCAGAACAGCGAGGAGAGCCCTGACCTCTCCCCCTTCCACCGAGGCAGGCAGAGCTGGTCAGGGTTCCCGTGAAAAGGCATCAAGTCCATGCCAGAATCCATCTGTTTCAAAGACTTTTAAAGGAGGAAAACTGTCCTATTTTCCTTTACCCTATACATCAGCTAAAGGTGAATTTTCCTCTCTTCCATTTAAAACTATGACCATTTTTTTTAAAAATGAAGAGACTCTCAATTACATTGATATGAAAAGATTACCAAGACATAGTAAGTAAAAAGCAAGAGGGGAAACGTTGGTAAAAATTATTTTTTGAAAAAGCAAGGAACAGGCAATTGTGGGGATCCTTTTATAATGTATACCAGTGTCAAATCATCACAGTGTACACTTTAAATGTATTATAATTTTGTCAATTATACCTCAATAAAGCTGAAAAAATAGCAAGTAGAATTATGGGGAGTAGGCTCCCACTGCGTATTTTTAAAAGGGGGAAGCAACTATACCCACTTCTGTGCTTGTCCAGCAGAGGGAGACATTTCTCTGTATAACAAAAAGGTACCATGGGCAAGTGCATTTTGAATCTTGAACTGCATGACTCTATTACCTATTCAAAACAAACACAATCAAAATCATGGCCAAAGTTGGCGCTGTCGGGGTCCTCCAAGACACAGGTGGCAACTCCTGGCTGCCAAGCACGAGCAGGAAAGAACTCCAATTAGGAATCATCTCATCTTCAGGTCCGACACAAATGGTCCCTCTCCAGACTCACTTTCCTTATTTGTAAACAAGATTTGTTTTCCTTTCCTGCCCACATTACAGTGTGGCTGTAAAACTCAAAAGAAATTGATGGGTTGAGTAGACAGGGCCCTAGCATTGATGTTCATAGTTCAGGGATATAAATGCCTTTAAGTATTCCTACTATTTAACTTTGTGTATCATCCCAAGGGTGAAAATCAAGGTGTAGAGAGAAAACATTTGATACACAAAGGATGTTTTTCACAATGTTATTAAACTCAATAAACCTAAATGTCCAAATGTAAAGGAAGGGATTGGTCAACCAGTAGAACACTTGCATATATTGGTAATGATGGCTTGGAAGACCACATGGCAGTATGAAAACGCCCTTAAAGAGCATCAACATTAAGAGAAAGA